TGGTAAAAAACGCCCATAAAACCGCAAAATGAAAACTAAAAATTTGTATGCACCCCCGCATGGACCTAATGAACCTCCATACCAATTTGGGTGAAGATCCATACACAGGAGGTAAGATAGTTGTGAGAAAGGCCTATAAAAACCGCAAAGTGCAAAATTGAAAATTTGTAGGTATCTCCCCATGGACCCAACAAACTTTCATACCAAATTTGGTGAAGATCCAACTGTAGGGGGTGAAATAATGTTTTAAAAAACGCCCACAAAAACCGCAAAACAAAAATATTCAAAACTTAGAAAATTTGTATGCATCTCCCCATGGACCTAATGAACCTCCATACCAATTTTGATGAAGGTCCATCCACACCCTGCGAAGTAGTTACATGCATACTATTATATTTATATAGATATGTACATTTACGCAACACTTTGACGTCAGTAACAACTTGAAAAAGCAACTGGGCGTTGCATAGTCTACTTCACGTTACTGAAGTACTGAAGACAGTTTACTGTTTATTTGACTAATTTCTCATGAATGTCTAGTAGTTTCAGGAACCAAGTTTGCTGCTTCTAAGCAGAGTGGATCCTTGCGTTTCTAACAAGGAGGGTGAGAGGTATGTGTTTCTGTTTTGTTTCATGTGTTTGCGCAAAGCTATACAATGAGAACCTGCGCCAGTCGTCCTAATTTTGATATTGTATATTAAAGGGAACAAGTTAGTCAACACCATCCACCGCCAACCTTTGGGCTATTCTAGTGGGATTTGATTATCACCTTTATAATACATCTACGGCCCCAAAGTGTGGAGCACAATTTTTTTTTAGTTGGGAGGAGGAGGAGGGGCAACGGGACGCGAAGAAGGATCCCTCTTATCCATAGTCAGTCATACTAACTATTCTTCAAATAGGAAAATTCTAGTTGTTGTTTTGTTTCGATGATATTTTTGAGGCTTATTTATTAGCATTAATAATTTAGTGTGTCTAAAACTTAGGTACCTCGGGGGCCATGACAGATGACGTCCACATGCGGAACCAATCACCATTTAAATATTTATAGTTGAAGTATGAACACTAGTCATCAACATATTATCCAAAATGCTGTCGATATAATTACTACATCTAAAGGTTATAAGATAATATTGACGACTGAATTTATGTTTTAGAAGTAATATGTATATATATATGTGTGTGTATGTGGACGAAATGAGGGTCTGTTTGCATCCTAACTCCTTCGAGCCTATTGGGCCAATCTCAACAAAAATTAATATGTAAACACTATGAACTATGGGGGAATGTCCTACAGGGGTCAAAGTTGAACTTAACTCTATTTCTATTATGTAAAGCCTGTTGGTTAATTACTCCCAGCCTATTGAGTCAATCTCAACAAAAATTAATATGTAAACACTATGAACTATGGGGGAATGTCCTACAGGGGTCAAAGTTGAACTTAACTCTAAACACTATGAACTATGGGGGAATGTCCTACAGGGGTCAAAGTTGAACTTAACTCTATTTCTATTTTGTAAAGCCTGTTGGTTAATTACTCCCACCCTATTGAGTCAATCTCAACAAAAATTAATATGTAAACACTATGAACTATGGGGGAATGTCCTACAGGGGTCAA